GCTACACTTCTCTTTCTTTCGATTTTTTTCCTATCCTGAGTCCACGCCTCCGACCGTCCCCGTCTGGTACCGTTGACTTCAACCAACTTTGGCGAAAGGTGGCCTGATCATCCACGCTCTTGTCAACTCACTCAGTCGATATTTCGGTTTCGAATGCTTGGCATACGCTTGGTCTCGAACCTGGTCGTTATGGTCGCTTCTGGTTCCTCGGCTCAACGTGGTTTCGTCCTACGTCTGCAGCGTTTCTGGTACGCATCCCTACGAACGCAATCTTCAGATTCTGGATACAAACCATTCCGGTGTGGCATGCCAACTCGAGCAACAAATACAGCATACCGCCCCTGGTACCGTTCTCAGAAAAAGAATTTCGTTGGCAACTCGACGATCAACGATCGCTTTCCCATTCCGCCAATTCTTCCGTCCTACAATCGCTCGTCAGCCGATCAGTCCCACGATTTAAACCGCTACCTATCGAAAGTGTAAACCCTATTCTAGCGGAGGGCTCCTGTAGTGACTCACTTTTATCACAAGAACACGATTGGTTTAATGAAAACAATCATTATTATAACCAATTGTTCCAGAGACTGTTTAATGTGCTTTTTGTTTAACTGTGCTGAAAACATCCATTATATTCACTTTCATTGTGACCTCGCGCGAATTCGGTTACGTTCTGTAACCAAGTTTGTATTCTGGCACGATCTCGGTATCCTTTCGGTACCACGAGATCGCCAGCGAATATATCTCGATTTGGTCCATTAACTGCATTCTGATATTTCGCTTCCGGGGGATTTTATGGATTTGTTTGGCATGTGTTTCTCTATAGCTGTGTTCATAGTCAATTTCGACTCCACGCCACACTACAATATTTTCAACAATTCTGTAACAAACTAATTTGCCGCACATTATAAGGGTGTACTTAAATGAATTGTTAGCTATTCTAGTTGACGACATTCTCAGGTCGATTCTGTTTCATGTTTGTTAGCTGTGATATTTCCGTCTTACAGTCAGTTATTTAGATTTGATATATACTTTATGATGACAAACATATGATAGACAGTGAATAAATCTCTTGTTAAATCTCATATCAATGTTTACGACCTCTCTCTCCTCTCTTAGTAATTTGAAAGTACTCTCTAAATCATTTCCAGATCATCAGTTGTATGTTAAAGTCCCCAGGATACATTGCTATGTTCTGAATGTTACCTTAATTTGCAAATTAACTGAGCATGGTTATAAAAAATGTATAGAAAAGAATGTGAAGCGATAGAGCAATAAGAATGGTTGAACCTGTCTCACTTGTCACACTACATAACTTCACAGACCAGTTTCTTACCAAAACATTAAACATTCTCTAGATCTTAGCAATATGTTGAACGACTAAAACTAAGACTTAAATCCTTATCAGTTTGTTTAGAGATGTTGAGCCTCTATAAGAAAGAAGCCCAAAACCAGTCTGTAATTATATGAACAAGCCTCAGTTGTGACTACATTTATTGAGACACAGGTTTTCGGAAGACTGTTTCAGTAAAGCTCTGATGATCCACATGAATCATAAATTTTTATCAGGACTTCGTCAACAGAAAACTAAACTAGAATTCGAAAAAGACATGGGTTAAGAAAGTATCATCAAAGTGGTGTGAGACGGCACTCTGAGTCTCTATAGAAGTTACCTAAACCAATCAATCCAGTAAGGAATTCTCAGACTTCCCGCTGGTAAGAAGTTCAAGGAACACTGCGCGAACCTCCACTTCTAACTTCTGAACATTCGATCAAGGGTGAGTGTAGGAGCTGTAATTATATAAGCACTCCAAAGGATGTCCACGGTCTTCATGTTGTTGTAAATAGTTATGAAGTTGACTCTACGTTTCTTATTCTCTATGGGGTGCAAACTCATCATTTTCAGTGGTACTTAGAAAGACAAACTCCTGAACAGTGATTTTATAGCTAATTTTTAAATACACTTTAGAACATCTTTATTTGTTTAAAGTAGAAGAAGAAACATTACGGTTTCAAACTTTAAAGAAATTAAACAAAAATTTGAAAAAATGGCGGAAAGTCGTACCTTTAAAATGGCCAGAAATGCCCCTTAGAGTCACTTACACACGCCCTGATCTAAAGGTATTTTTGTCAGTGGTCACGTGACATTAGAGAATAAGGAACCAGATACTCCCAAATCATTTTAAATGACAAAACTTTTTGATGTTTGTCCCATACTGATGTGGATGGTAACTTTGGATTCTAAGTCGGGCTCGACTTTAATCACTGAACGGTTGCGGCTTTGTGTTAGCTGACTTTGGCTATCTTATGAATGAATGGGGAGCAATATAGATATTTACGACTGTGATGGTTTTTGAGGAGAGTTTTGATGCAAAGTTTGGGGGTGTGGCTTGTAAGCGGCTGTATCCTGCTGGCTGGTAACTGGTTGTTGATCGAAACTCGTATTCGACTGACTGTGTTTACTGGACCTAATTGTAACTTTTGGTTACTGCGTACATGAGGGATTCTTTAATTGAGACTCCTTCTTATTTTTACTTGATTTTCGTGAGAAAACTGTTACAGATATGGTAAGCCTACCAGAGTTGTACTAGTTGCTGCAAAAGACCATTCAGTTCAATAGGATCAACAAGTGTGAAACAGTCTTCGGCTCCAGTGTCGGATGATGGCCTGTGAAATATTCATGTAACTCCAGGATTAGTACAAAGAGAACTAAAATCCCTGTGCTCAGGTAAGTCCCTTTGAAGTGGCAACACCAAAACTATAATCCTGAAATAGTTCACGCAATTCAGTACACAGATATATGACCTGTTCAAGTTTTCACTCGAGTTACAGCAACTTCCAAAAGAATGGGAACTGACTACTATCGCTGATCTTCATCATGGGAGATAAGAAAGATCTAGCCTGGTACAGATCAAAAGGATTACTTTCAGTACTATCAAAGTGATGGAAGGACTGGTGAATGACCGAATGAAGGGATAAATTGAAAAAAACCAGCGTCCTTCATGAAGCTGAGTAGCAGTTTAGAAGGAACAGATCCCGTACATTCAACCTCCTTACAGCATGGAACAGCTGGACGAATTGCTGAGACCAAAAGTCATCGGTTCATAGGACATTTATTGATTCCTCCGAAGTATTTGGCACAGTAATGCACTTAGTCTCCATTGTCCTGCTCTATGCTGGCTCTGAAGTTATCTGAAGCACTGACTACTTCACACCAATGAATACAGGTTGATCTAGAGCTAGAAAGTTTCGACGTAGGGAATCTCACAAAAAACGTTTTAGGTCCAGCTCTTTTTATTTTGATCAATAATCTCCTAGACAAAACCAACTCACCGACTGCCGCATACGTTGGTGATGTCAAGATGTGGAGATCTACAAGAAACGAAAAAGATCCATTTGAGTTCCAGAAAGATCTCTCAACAATGAGTAAATGGACAGTGGGAGCCTGTTTAAATTTAGTCTGTCAAAATATCGTGCTATAAACATTCAGCCCGATGGGACACAAACAACCTACATTGTCAATGAAAATCCGCTCCCAACTGTGCCCTCAAAGAGTGATCTAGGGCAGTTAACTACAGGGACGTTGGACACTAGCTCAAATTGCATTGTAGGTGCGGCCAAAGGAAATGAAGCCCTTCACACTAAGAAAAGATTATTTGACGCAATCAGCCCAGAATTGGTTTTGGCCCTTTTTAAAGCATATTCAAGTAGCAACTTTAAAGTTCACAAAGTTATTGAACCTCACCTCTAAAAAAAGACACAAATCTCTTGAACGAAGTATAGAGACAGGAAACTAAGTTGGTGATAGGGCTGAGGGACAAACCTTACAAAGGTAGACACCTAAACTTCAGATTGTGTTCACTGAGCTAAAGAGGAATAAGAGGTGATCTGGTGGTGGTACGCATAACACTAGGTATAACAAGTCGCCTCAACACAAATATCCTATCAGAACACCATTATCACACTCTACGAGATGATCTCCAGAAAATTGCACGTCAAAAAGAAAAGAATTGGGTACTCTTCCGATTTTCTTCATTAATAGTTGCTTCTGTTTGGAAGGTTCTTCCAGGTGAAGTGACCATAGCCTATTCAGTGGACGGCTTCAAGAGGAGATATGACAAACACGTACTCACGTCTGGACCAACTGCCTCGCAACCTATCTTCCGTTAACAACTTCATATATGACTAACTTATTCCTGTCCTCTTATTATGATATCCGTTTACCTTTTATTCTTATCTATCGGTCTGCTCATACTATCTACATCACTAATTATTTGGCTTATTTACTCCTTGAAGCAATCGTCTATATTAGCATTCAACTTTTCCTTCCATTATTTTCCATATTACAATCAACCGACCAGAGTCCGATGGTCTGATATTTGTGAGTTCCGGAAACCCTAATGTCCTAAGACAAACTCGCTAAAATTATGAGATAAACAAACCAACAAATAGCTAACAAACTGACTCGAACGAGTGTGGTCGTGCCACTAGACTACCTCTCACTGGAGATTAACAAGGAAATGAAACCGTAACAAAAAGAAGTGAGGGCAAAGAAGTTATTTGATTTAAGTAAGCTCATAATAGAGATACTAGATATTGAAATCAGTCGACCGTCCTAGAGATTACGCTGACAGCGTAAAATACTGAAAAGTAAACCGTCATAATACTTCGTCCGTTATCTTACTGCAGGTTAGGGGTGATCTAATATTGGCTTATCGTAAACTGAACGATGACCCTGGTATTAATATGTCCTATCTTTTCCTTCCCTCTGGAACTGATCATTTGAGAGGACAATCTAGGAAAGTTCAAAAACCGAGTTCAAATCGTCTACGTCTTCATTTCGTTTCTCGTACCGAGTAGTGAACTACTGGAATTCTCTACCGGAACACGTAATATTATCACCTTCTGTTGATATATTATAAATGAGACTGGACCTCCACAGTGTTACAAAATGCAAGGATTAATATAGGTTGATAGACCTCCTATCCTTAATACTGAGGACTGAAAGTTGCGGCTATTGTAAAATGAAGGTCAAATTGAAAAAGAAAAGTGTGAAGAATGAGGTTGTTCAGTCTTGAGAATAATACTTACTGCCGATTTAGGAAGAAAACGAGGAAATGTATGTCAGATTAGGAGATGTACCTCTGGACATATTACGGTATAATATATCGATGCAATCAGGAGTGGAACGAAAGGAAACTCGCAAATCCCTACTTCTCAAAATGGGCGCTAAGAAACCGAAAAACCCATACATTAATTACAAAGAACTCATGCAGAATAAGGCAAAGGCTAAGGCCGAGGCTGAAGCGTTTGCTTTCGATGTAAGTCTTACTAATTCGGTACTGAGTATGCGGTAATTGTAATAGCGCAGTGCTAGTTTCGTCAACAAAAAGCTCCCTTTAAAGCAGGCAAAAAAGAAACGGAAAAACCAACAGAAAGACAGACCAAGAAAAAAGTTAGTTTGCGATGTATTATATGTTTATAATTTAGAGTATCCAAGCCACGGAAGCATCGCTAACACCTGGTATTATGTAAACGTATTTCAATCATCAGATTTGTATATAGTCTTATCGAAAATTCGCTCTTTGGAAGGCCTAAATAAATGCTTCTCGGTAGTGTTTAGAGTTTTTGAGCCATTCAGTTCGGGATCCCAAGTTTCACAATAAACCTTTCTGCACCCTCGTAACATGACTGTTTCTAATGTTAGGTTTTATTTGGATTTTTAGCTGGCTAAAACCTACTATAGACTTACTGTGGTCACATGGTATTGGCACAACCCGTAAATAGAAGTATAGGCTTTTAGTCCTGGAATACCTCCATTACTGGTATATACATCTTATGACTTGCTTTTTTTTTACATGAACTTGACTAGTTTCTCCATTAGCGCCAGAGCTTACTTTTGCCAAGTTTTATCTTCATAGTTACATCGCATTATGTCTGGAAGCTGCTATTGCTTGAACCGTTTTTTAAAAAAAACGAAGCATTACAGTTGCTCTTAATAGTTTTATCAAGCGTTTTTGCGTTCGGGTGTATATCATATAAATAACCTATTTGTCCTACTTTGAATCGCTAATATTCCTGAAGTTTTTTTAGTGTTCATCGGTCCACGACGGTAAAACTGGTCAGTTTTTAGAAAATCTAATCTGTACCTGTGTGAGGTGGTTAATTAGATTTAATGTACTGATATCACACGCTTGAAAGGACGTACTATGTCACCTGTTTTTTTTTTGCCGTAAAGCCTACTGACGTAATAAACCAAGGTAATGCAGTATAGATTTACGGGTTGAGTACAGATCATAAGAAACAAGCTGGTATGTATTTCCCATAAATGATGGTTAACTTGCTATTGTGCTTACAAGAACGTCTTAGTGATTTTCGCGAGATACCTTGTCTGTTGAGACATTCCAGTACCTGTATTGTAGTTTACACCTAAATGTTTTTTTCTTCAGTCTAGTATCGTAAAAGCGGTTCTATTCATTTTTATAAAATCCGTGGCTTAAATTTATGTTGTAGCTGTCAGGATTCACTTGTCTTGCATTAATTAGGACGTATATTTTTTAATTTGTGTGCTTTGTTGCCGAAATTCTACATCAATTTTCTTGTTTATTACATTTTCACCATTTGGGTGAGAACGAAACCACATGGAAGTTCTAAGGTGGTAAATAAATAAATATAACACATGGGCTGGATTCTTCAAATCCTTTTTTATTTTCCAGAACTGGTGATTATGATTTCCTATGGCAAATGCTTTGGACCACTGTCCGTTAAGTTTGACTACGCACTTATAATTTTCAACTAATAAACTCGAAGCTTCTTACAACACGAATAAGATCGGAAAATCGTAGGATTTGCATGTAGAAAGTAAAAAAGTTAATCAGTATGGTAATTTTCCTTAAGATACTAGTCGTGAGACGAAATTTCATCTCCCACTGACTGGCTACTAGGTTTTTTAATGCAAAGGTAATTGTTGACGGTATTAATAGTTCTCAAAAGAGTTAGGCCATAACTAGGACTTTTGAAATCTTGTTTGCCAGTTCCAGAAAATCAGTCTTATTTGTTGAGATCTTATTATCTCCTGTTGCCCTGATGCTAATTCTAAGCTCCACTTAAAAATTTATATTCTCACACGCTTAATAGATTTACCCCATTTATTTATCAAAATTAGCATTAGGGGATTTAATTTTATTTCTAACTAGCCCATCAACAAACAAACGAACTCGGCTTGTAGTAAAAAAGTTATTATTTCTTCCATAAACTTTTTATCTTCCTGTCGATGTGTATTTTGTGATATCATGGGTAATAATGAAACTGCCGGGTTCTGAGTCTGATAATTGATGCCTTTCAGCTCGTGTATTGGCAGTTGAGGCGAGTGACCATATCACTATTCCATAGCTAATAATGAATTCACTAAAAAAACAACTCAATCGAGTTGTGTGAAGAGTGTGTAATCTGGCTAAATGAGGTTTTCAGGAACTTAGTAATTTTAATGATGAAGCGTTAAATAGTCTTTAAGTAGGCGAACATTTTACATTGATATGGTAATACTACTGCAATCTAAACAAACTCATCATCTTTGTATAACCAGACTGTATTCGGATGCTCGACGTTTTACATGAAGTTATTTGCAACAGATTTAAATCCTAGTTCGTTACAAGGATGGTTTGTAATTAAATGTGAATGAGAATGTCTTGAAGTGTAGTGACTCTTGTTTGGTAATCGAATATTAAAAAAAACAAGATTTGATCAAACGATTTTGTGTTTTAATGAATTTTCAAAACAAATTTCAAATAATGACTAGGCAAATATTAGAAAAAGCTCTGAACAAATAGGTATCGTACAACGATTTTTCAGTAATCGTAATTTCACATTTGTACACGTTCGTGTAGCGGATATGAGCTGAACTCAGTTCGTGTTCCACAAGAAGAAGAGGAATTGGAGAATTAAGGGCGAAAACACAGGACATAGGAGGGGGGCCAACTGGATATTGTGTAGTTATTCTTCCCGTATAGGGGTAACATTTTTTACTTGCATATTGATAATCAGACTAGAATAATTTATGATTTACTAGAAGTGAAAGTATGAATATAAGAGAATTTATTAAGACAGGATTGGATCAGCTGATTAAGGTATATTACAAAGTGATGTGATTTAATATGGTTTACAATTTACTAAATTTATTCACACTGATGTAAGCAATGTGTGCATAAACGTGTGTCGTAATAGTGAAATTTACTTTTCGTAGATTAACAGTAATAACAGAAGTAATAATTATTATATTTGCACTATTACTTCCTCTTTGAGTTTATATTTGTCAAAAACGATATCAATTTAGCTTTAAAAGGTGAAAAGATGTTAGTAAAATTAATGGTAGTAGTACTGATGGGATAAAAAAAGGGTTTTAGTGCACATTATAGTGATTGTTTCATAATGATTAAATTAGTTAAAAGACATGGTAGGGATACTTAAAAATTAATTTCACATATCGTATTCGGGCCAATTTAATATAGGAAATTGATTTGTTTTTTTTCTTCAAATAATGATAATTTATAGGCTCAAAATATTACAGATACTACTACTCTTAGTTGTCACCTTTTGATTTATCTTCTCTTGGACGTATTGTAGAATCACTTGTACTCCGGTTTATTGTAGCTGTACTATTTCTTGACTCATGCCATGTAGAACGACTAGCAGCAATCGGTGTTCTAGGTAGGGAAGACTGCTCCAACGGACTAATATCTGTATTTGTTGTGATGTTTTCTTCAGGACGTTGTCTATTTCTTTCATCACTATGATATTGGGTCGAGGGGTTTGTTTTATCTATTTTTGTCGTTGATTGATATGGTCTTGATTCAATAAATGATCTTCTTGGTTTTATTAATAAATTTGATCCCGTTGATCGGTTCAGTCTAGCAGGTATTGAGCCTGTTAGTTGGTAGTAGTATGGGTCATATCTAGATGGTGCAGTAGTTGGCTTGTACAGTCCCACCAAGAATGAATCCTATGAATTATAAAAGTATAATTTAGTATTGAATGTGATCACGTGTGAAATGAATTTATACTTTACAGTTTCATTTTCTCCTCAGTACCATTAATTAATTTAAAAATGTAATTATCGAAATCTTAGTTTTGGTAGAGTTCTTGTACGTGATTTTGAACTTGAGGCTTTTTAACAATGCTTATCTCTGGTGATTGTACATCTACATTGGTCTTAGTTTCGTCCAGGATGAGACGGATAAATTCTTGCCCTCGGATTCCCTTAGTGTCTACGCTAATTTAATATTTATGTTCGCTTCTTTAAACTGGAACGTCTTTTTTATTATTCATTTAACTAAATGTTATTCTCCACAAGTTTGTGGAACTTAAAATTTTGAATGATATCGACTATACAGTAGCCTGGGAATTACGTTTTTCTGAGTGATATTATTTGTTAGAATGATTGTTTAACAACAGTTACATTCCTTTTTATCTAATTACGTTAACTTGGAAGTTGTAAGCTATTTACTGCTGACTGAAATCCTTAACTGTATGGATGACCTTACCAATTTAAAAACGTCTTAAAGTATATCTAGATCATTTTAATTGATTCCTAGTCTCAATAATTGTTCGTTCATATGCATGATTAATATAATATAGATTTTTCTGTTTTCCTCTTACCTGTTGACGATTATTATCTATTGAAGATTTCATTTCAGTATAATCATATCCTGTTGTAGTTACTGAACTTCCATAACTTGTTAAACTTGGCTGACTTTGGTTAACAGAAGATGGATTCTTTAAGTAAAGTAATTGACGTTTACTTGTTTCATGAGTTAGTTGATCTTTGAGTTGTTGAATCTGTTATGAACACAAAGAAAGATAGGTAGAAAGTGAATTTAATAATGTATTCCTTTATAGTACTTAGTAATATGAAGTTTTAATGATAAAACAAATGTATCAAGGGGTCGGCTAGGGTAATACTACCATTGTATCTTGAATTTTCGTTGTAACGGTTTTTAGTTTATATATATATATATATATATATATATATATATACGCCCACACTACATTACCATATTTTCTCATATAATGTATTTCAGTAAAACAATCAACGATATCTTGAGTTGAAATTATTTAAAATACATAATGAAGCTGGTTGCAAGCCAATAACTTTTCAGTTTGTATATTCAATATTGGGTTAGCACATTTACAGTGTAATACTGGGAAAGTTATTATTACCTTAAAATATTTTAGTAATCACCATAAATTAATAGTTTTACGATCTTAAAAGATTAGATATTTATTTCTTAATTTTGTTGATTATCCAAACGGATTTGAATTTTTGAATGGTTCTTGCGTAGTATGTCTGTTGCAGTGATAAAAATCAAGGTCAATCCCTTATGGCTTGTGTACCTGACAAAAAAGTACTAATCTTCCTACGAGTATACATACAAATATCAATTAAGTTGTAACAGAAGCAAAACAACACATCGAATAAGCAACTGAATTAATGTGAAATATAATAACTCAATGTTGCTCACGAATTAAATCGGCTGGTTAGTAAAATTAAACTTTTATAATTAACAGAATTGTAATCAAGGTATTAGACATGTTGTAAAGTTGTTCTTTGTAGGAACAATTGAAGTATAAGAGTGTTTATAGGTTGTTAACATAATAATGTGGTCCAATATCTACTGTCAGGCTTAATTATGTTGTTGTTGTTGTTGTATCAAAGTGATCTACTCATATTCAGTTGATTTATAAGAAGCTCTTAGGATCTTAGTCGTTATAGTCATTCGTATAGTTCTACAAGTATTTTGTTAAACTGTGAATTTTGATTAGCTATTTTTCATTATTGATTATTGCTATGATGTGTAGTCTAATTTTAATTGAGGTTATCACACTGAATAGGTTTATTAACTACTTGTATGGCGTTCCTATGTTTCTACGATAGAGAAGTTTCTCAAAACGTCTGCAATTATTGTACGTAAAAAATGAATTACAGATTTACAAAACCCCTAAGTTCTTAAGTAGTTTCTGACAATACATAAAAACATAGTGCGACGCGGGTTCAACTCCTATAGAGAGCATCAAGTCTTCACAATTCTAGGTATGCCTTGCTGATGAGTTTCAACTAGCATGAAACCCAGGTTCAGTGTTATCTGCCGACTGCCTTCGATCACCTAACATAAGTGAAGTCTAGCGAAACAGAAGAATACGAGGTTTCAAGTTGGCAGAAATTAGCTTTTCAATTTTTCTTGAAAAACAAGGTCCAATGAGTTCACGCATGTGAAACATGATTGATTTGAAAATCCATCTGGTTCATTTGTCAATTTTTTTCCTAGATTACTTTATTTCCATCATGTTCAATAAATTGTTAGAAATAAAAAGCAAAATTGATTGATGCTACTATTAAGCTGAATTTCACATGATGTATCGTAATAGGTTATACATGATAGGTAGTTTTCGAAACGTTAAAAATATTTTTCGAAAGATCACTTTAAGCTAAATGCCTATTTTCAGCAATTATCTCATTAAACTTTGTTTTTTTTTAGTTTGGGTAATCAGTTTCGTACTTTTAGTTTATGAAGCTGCAATTCTGTCCCTAGAAGCTGAGAACCCTAATGGGGTCGATCACCCTATTTGTGGTTCTTAAATACCATAACGTCACACCGATCTTAGCAAACCTACACACACTTCTCTCATTTGCTCAAAATAATAATTAGTTTCATGTATTAGAAACTTGAGTTTGTTAATATTTAAAATTATGACTTTATATAGAAACGTAAATTCTACAGTTGAGATCTATTTATCGCAATACGGGCACACCCAAGGAGTTTTCAGTTTGCCATTTATGTAACACGATGTTTGGATAGCTAATAATAACCTAGCGACCAGATCTTTGTAATGAAAGCCATTTAACCGTAAATAGTTAGGTATTTAAGGCCAACTAACATTTGTTTGTAGGCTATCCATATATGGATAAATGTCAACAGCTCTATCATTAATTTTGTTTGTTCATCTTTAACCCTATTTTACGCTTGGAATAGTTTTATTGTCAAAATAGAACGGTGAAAAAGCTTATGAGAGTGGAGTTATATTTGTTATAAATTTATTCTATTGGAAGAGCGGTAGGGAGGATGTGAATGTCATCATTTATTCGTCATACTTTTTTGTAGTAAAATTTACAAATTAGAAAGTATATCATTTAGCGGTGATTAACACTTATATCTTACTACCGTCTACATCTTTTTTTCTCATGTACAACTCGTGCTTTTATGTTTATATGTAGCTGAATAATAAAGACATAGTTACAACGAACAGATAGTGCTCATGTGATCGTCTAGGTGGAATGGAGCTCAAAGTTATGATCCTTTTAATTTATCTGCTAGACATGCTAAAAATTCATCTGTTACTTGAGTAGTGTATTATGCAAGTGATGGCAGTACGAGAGTTGATTACACTATGAATCAAGCTTCGTCGTTGAAGATGTTTATACCCTGATACTACTTAATAATTTAAAGTAGCGTAGAAGAACAACAACAAATGAAGTAAATGATTAATATGTAGAACCTGGTCTTCAAGTCCACGTATACGTTGTTTATAGCTACGTTCTTTGAGTTGTAATGTTTTTTGTGTATCATTTAGAGCGTTTCTTTGTCGATCTAACTCATTTTCTAATTCTTGACGCTGTTTTGTATTGACTTCGATTAATTGAGCTGCATACTGTTCGTCTTGTTGAGCCATATGTACCTAAATATTAGATAAAAGATTGCGTTTTAATCACTTTCTGTAAGACAATTTCGTGTGTATAAACGCAAAATTGGCAGAAAAAATCATTGTTCAATTTTCAAAACACCAAGGTTTTGTTTAAAAAAGAAGTTTATAGAGTAATTAGTAAAACTGCTATTGGTTATTGTTTTATCTTAGCAAGGTGCAGATGTCGTACAAATCGAACGGTTAGTTGTCTTTATAAATGTTTCTAGGATTGTGGCACTATTTTTCTTTTGAAGTAAGGATATCATCTTTAAAAATGGTTACTGAATAAAAATAACTTGACTTTTGCCGGAAATATAACATAATTACAACTCGGATTTATTGTGGACTGATGATAAAACTAACGAAATACAGATTCATGTAATTGGCTTTGATTAATACTTTATATTTGAGGGGTAGTGATACTACGTTGTTACGCAAACCGAAGTATATAGAAGAAGATTTTAATCTGCTGCGCAGTGGTTGAAAGTCGAACGACCTAACCACTAAGCTACGGCACCACGGAGACTAGTGAGGAGGATGAAATAATTTATTTATTCACTTACTTCGAATACGTAAGTTATGTCCGCCAACTTTTTTAAAAAAATGGATGAAACAAATATTTAATTTAAAGTAATCTTTTAGATCGAATTCAATTTTTATAATCTATAGCGCGATTCTACTAAATCTTTTTAGATAAGAAGACAGAGTCAACATCAACTCTGAGATGCAGATACATCCAGCTGACGAGTCCCAAATGGGATGAAACGCACATCCTGGATTTCACTGCTAGCCACTATCCATCGTTTGTCATACACCTGTATTATCTATAAAATAAAAGTAACTATTACTTATCTACAAAATACTACTATGTAAAATATTCTCAGTAGTAATAATTTTATTGTAAACTTAAGGAATAACTTTACATTCAAAATGTTTTTTATAAGAGTTCTAAAAATAATAACGATATTAGAGTATTTATGGTTTTTCGGCACACTTGAGTTAGCCTCCTAGTACTTTATAGGGTCTTGATAACTTAACGAACAGAAAGTGAATTCAAGTGTGAATTTTTCCTGCTAATAGGCTGAACTACTACAAGTTCACAAAAAAGACGTTTTCCAAATGGTATTACTTTGGCGATATGAAACGAAATCCATCGCAGTAGTGGAATTACATTCATCATCGGAATCTTAAATTAAGTATGATTTCTAACTTTTCATATTTTCACCTCATTCCTTGTGAACTGTATTTCTCACGCTTAAATTTCGGTTGTAATTGGAATTATATTCTTCTTTTCGCCTCTCACCTTGTTACTTTCTTACTTCAATGAACCAATGTAAGGCGTAACAATGTGGATCGGTATAGATTCGTATCAAATCCTACGCTGATAACAACTGACTGACTTTTGATACTATCAACGTAAGTAAAACCAATCCAGCATATTAGTATGTTTACTATAAAATGACATACAAGTTTCGTGTTTATTTTGCCTCACTTATGACAAGATAGTTTTCAGTTAACAATCAATGAATTATGTTACTATTCAACGTATAATCACATGTTTATTATATATCTGGCATAACTTTTTTTAAGGCAAATGATTAAATAGTAAATCATACTGAATGGATAAATAAACATTAAAACTATCTCTCTTTTTAATTTACTTGAAGTTTTTGTATTTCTCGACGTAAATTTAATGTTTCTTCTTCAAGTCCACGAATAGTTGTCATCAATACGGAATTTTCATTACGTAATGTATTATTTAATTCTTGTTCTTTTGTACGTTCTCTTTCCATCTAAATTTGTTAACAGAAAAAAAAGAGACTAATTATAGAACTAGTTCTAATATTATTTAAATAAAATTCTCTAGAAATATTTATGCGTGAATACTTTTCTTGGTTTTAGTAAATTAATTTGATGATCCCTAAAATATAAGAAAGGACAAAAATAACTGATATCCGTCTAATCAATACTGATTCTAGGTTTTATTGGAACTTTAACTTCATAAGCAAAAGTCCTGAATTTCAACAAATAGTATCGTAAATAAATACTACTCAGGGAACTTTATCAGATATCAGATCGTTATTGACGAATAATATACTGATTCATTTTGTATTGTTTGCTTGAATCTTCTCATTGACGTTTAGGACTGCAATCGATCAGTCTGGTTAGCGCTTAGCATTTAAGGAATTCTTTTCATGTATAATAACATTAATTATTGATATCAAATAACAAGGAACTCGGGTAAATGTTCACAAAACAGGATTAATAAATCATTTCTCTGATGTACTAAAAAAAGTGAACTTTATTAGGTGGCTGATTTGAATAAATGCGTTTTTGAAGATCAGTCTATTGAAGAAGAGAAAATTCTATGATTAGAGACTGGGAGATGAAGAAGATAAACGAAATTCTATATCTATGTCAATAGTGTTGATCATTGATTGGAAGTAGTATATATATATGTTTTAGTACAAAAGAGACGTTTCTAGCTCGGTTTTAACTTTTAAAATCTGACATGAATGGAGAGACTAAGTTTAGTTCAGGTTTAAATTCTAACTAAGAAATCAAATCTAAACTTCGCTCTAGCAGTGCATGTTAGTAATATAATATTTGATACTGTAATTCAAAAATGTCTCACTAAGCTGTTCAACTAAAGTTAATTTTTCTAATTTTTTATCTACAGCACTTACAACAATAATAAGGATGTTAGAGTACAGTTTAGTATTAAATAATATAAACGACAAAGTTCTCCATTGCATCAATTGAACTTCACGTAGATGAAAGTTATTTTTGACTAAACTGTTGACTTATATGTATATATACTATATTTGAAGTAATCTCAGCGATTGAAATTTAAGGAATTTCAACGTTTCATCCAGCAATTTTGTTTGGAATTTTTCAGGGTATTTATCAAAATTATCAAAGAACAAATCTGCACTAAAAGCTTATTTAGGAAATTATAAGTCAGTTAGACGTATATAATGCAATAAGTCCACAATGTGAACATAATAAATGTGTATGTATGTGTACTTTTATGTTATTAGTAATTACAACTACGTGAATAAATGCAGTCTCTTTCTACTATCATAAACATTTTAACCATTCTATTTATGATTAATAATAATAGTACAATCGAAAAGTTTTCTAAAACGTCGAAGTGTATGTACAATGAGAAACGTGATTTTAAAACATTCGAATTAATTTCTTTTTGTTGGAATAAAGCTACAGGTGATATAAACAGGGTAGATAGAGATAAAGTATGGATTACATGTCATTAAGCATTTTCCAAAGGGTGGCTAGTTGCGTTCCATATTTTCTGTTCAGGCTGTTCTGATTAGCCCATATATACAGCGTTTCTGTTGTCAACCTTGCTTTGCGCGCGCCTAACCCTTTCTGAAGTGGTTTCTGTTAAATTATTCGTCCAAATATTGACGAATATTCATATAGACTTGATTATTATAGGGTAATTAACTCAAGTAATATTTACAGTATGAACAAATATTTCAGAAAATGTTTCAAGAACATAAAAAACATTGTATAGATTTAATGGCATCTGAAATAAACAGTGATTATTTTAAAACTCACTTTTTCTGCCATTTTCTTCCATTGAATTTGTTCTTTTCTTACTCGTGTTAATTCACAATCGATTTCATGTTTTTGTATTCCTGCATCATTCATACTTCTTAATAAGTTGGCATTTTTTTCAGTTAGATTAGCATTTTCAACTGAAATATATACATATACATATATATTAAAAATAAGTAAGTTGGTTAACTTCTAAATCAAATAAAGCCATCATTCCAAAGATTAGTTGTATGCATAAGAATCAGTATTTGTTTCTAATTGTTGTATACAAAGTATGTTTTAATCTCAATTTCAGATTAATAACAGATACTTACATTCAGCCATATTTTTTTTAGATTCAAATGTTTGTATACATTTAATTACTTCCAGCTTATTTAACAGCAGTGATTTCTATTACAATTTAAGTATGGTTATTCTTATGGATAAGTTATATAATACATGCTTTCAAAGTGTATATGTAATTGCTTTCTTTCTTTGTTTGAACCAGAGTGATATTTATCTATTTTGATTATTTAGGCAGAGTATATTTATTCGTTTATGAGAGCCAATACATAATGTAAATAGCATTGTAAAATACTTTTGTAGGCTTCTTAGCATGCTCATAATTAGTCAGAAATTTTTTTACAATCATAGGTAGGAAACGACAGTGTAATATATGATCATCCTACTTCGCGATTGATTTGCTGAATAGTAAGCGAAGTAGGAACATAGGAATGTTAAAATAGGTCATTATTTCCATGCATAGCTTCCCCTATATCGTTGTTCCATAACTTTTCAGTGAATTTCTTAGTAGTGTTTTTGTATTAGAATTTTCTATAAAACTATCTATGACCATGAAAAAGATTCAAAAAGTAACCCGTTTACTCTCAAATAATTAAGATTCTTTAGCGACGTTTTTATAATAATAATAATAATCGGATTGAACTTTAAATCTTTAAAGAATAATAGATTTTTTAAGACTATCATACTGCTAACGGTTTGATTGGTTCTCTAGCAAATTGTTTTTGATTTCCACAAACTTCCTCATCATTTTGACTGAAAAACAGCTTCAAAATTACAAATTCTTTTTTAACACTATAGCTGACTCGAACCTATAGTGTAATTATATCCTTTTCAATTATTGTATAAATGTAGTTTTAAAAGTTTTACTTTCTCTCACCCTGTATATTATTGATCTTCATTTGCAATTCATTATTAGTATGTTGACATTCTGTTGACAATCTTTCTAATTGCTTTAGCTGTATTTCTACTTCAGAACGTTTAGCAGCTGCATCTGTCGTTTCCATTTGTAGTTTTTGTACACGTTCCATCATTTCATGTAATTGAACTTTAGTATCATTTAACAAGTTCTTATTGTTATCTAAACGTTCCTAAATTAAAGAGGCAAATTAATAAACGTACTTATTGGTACGGTTTACATTGATGTAAGTGTAGACAAAAGGGAAAACAGTTTAGATTTTGAGTTGTTCTTTTAGAAAAAAATACCATTTTGTTGTCATAATTCATCGTTAAATATATTCAAGTGTTTCGTCCACAAAGTGGTACAGCAATCTTGTTTGTTTTCGAATTTTATGTAGATTCTGCTTCTTTCCAAGCTTCATTTTTCTTGATCAATTATTGTCGTTCATTTCGATGTAATTTATAGAATATCGTTACTGAATACGATTCTGTGCTGATATGAACATTCCTATCAGTACAGAAAGGTGTTCTCACGCATCGTTGTTTAATAATGGTGAGAATTTTTTAAAATAATTAAAATATTGTGGGCGACCTATTTCATCAAAAGTCCTCGATAAATTGCTGATGTATAAAATCATTGTGGAATTGATAATGTGAATCAGGTCACCATCTACAATTATTTTGGTAATCACTGAGTTGTAATGAAGTAGTCTATCAGGAAAACATTAAATCGTTAATTATTCAACTAGACTTACTCGTTTCATTCTGATATTAAAAAGATGAAGATGAATACTTATTTGTAAAAAAATTTGTTAATGAATTACCGGATGACTTCGAAGTCTCACTTGTAAACTACATTACATGGATTACTAACCAAAGGACAAAACGAAAACTTGTGCAATTATTAAAAGAGCTAGAAAATCTAACAGCTAAAGTTCACAGATCTTCCTGTTAATTAAAATCTGTTTACTTTTTGTTAATCAAATTTAGTTATCAAAAAAATTTTCAACCACCAGCTAATTTCCACCTTAAGTCACTCAGAGTACCAGTCTTGAGTGGTTATTAAGTTTCAGTAGTCATCGAACGGAGAACGACAATATGCCATTGAATAGGTAATAACATCGATTTATAATCAATAACAGTATCCTCACTTGTGTATGAGAAACAAATTGCAACTGTAACTGAACAAGTTTACCTAGTGATATAATCCGAAATGAGAAATTATATACTCTAATAGTAGTTAATAGCTATTGTAAGTCAATGACCAAACTGACATCGTGATTGTGACTGTGAAATAATAGATACTGGCTTTATGTATCCTCTCTGCAATAGGAACAGAGTGGTTGTGAGCGGTTCTAGGTCTCATTTACCAAATACTAACATAATTTTGGTAGTGTCAAGGTATTTAAAATGAAAAGTCTGTCCAAATCTTCCGGATAAGCACTGATGATTTGAATTTATTAGGTTTAACAAACTATTTTTAGTTAGCTAAATCGAAGTGTTATAGTTTGTTCAGAACGGAAAGCTATTGTTTCATGTTGAAGTCATCTGTCACTAGTGTAAACGAACTCTTTAAATACTACTCATTCGGTATGCACGCATTATTGTGGGTCTTAAACATGATTACATCCATCAGTAAAGTGTCTCTAGAAAACTCAGGAAACACTTCATAATTCTACAAAGTTTCATGGGTTTGAGTAGTGATCGTAAGTGCTATTGAAATAAGTGACAGTTTGTATGATCGGATGTTTTCAAATGCTAATTATAATATTATTTTTCCATTTATGATTGATATTAGCACGCTCAAATAAACTAAAAAACTGTATTGTTATACCTGTAATAAGCGTTTTTCTTGTTCTGCATTCAGTTCGCGTTTCTGTGATGCTTCCATGTGTTCTTGTGTTCTAGTTAATTCTTGTTGTAAATTTGCATAAGCCAGTTTTTCGCGTGTTAGTTGATCACGTAACTCAGCTACACACAAAGTTGTTTGATCTAAGGCATTTGTAGCTCTTTCTAATTCGATTTGAAGATTGTATATTTTCATTTCCATTTCGGTACCTTGACGTCCACTCACATTTAAACGGGATTGTAAATTCTGGTGTAAGATGAATCGAAAAAAATTCAAGTGTTTCAGCATTTAGATTTAGTCGAAGTGACTGTGAATAACTGAAAATATTATTTATGTGCACGGTCAACAAAGATTGACTGTAGGATTAACCACTGACACCTATCTACAAACAAATCACTGGTCACGTATATTCATTACATCGTACTGCTATTCGATCCTGATACTGATTATACATGCTACCTATAAGCAACCTCAATCTAGTGAATGGTAAGACTAAAAATGACTGAGTGGCTAACCGAATCATTTATATACTCGATCCATTGGTATATGCATATATTTGTCCAAACCAAGTCCTAACGAGTTGGTTTTTACCAGTAGCTCACTTCCTTTAACGTCTCTCGCTTAACATTTGGTCTTAAGCTATTATGTGCACACAAGCACATATTATATTTAAATTCATCCAGAGAGCTTCCATTGTACATGAAATCTCTCGTATTAAGGCTGAGATTGGTTTTTATTTACTCAAATAAAATTAAGTAGTGTGGGTCTCAAACAAGTTAACTAAACAGCTAAAAGGTGATCCAAGTCATGAACCTACTATTTAATATTATTTATCCATTCGAAAATGCATTTCTAAATTTTTCTATCAATACAAGTTTCTATACTTCTATAGGTTTTTTGTATTAGTACATTCGTTTACCATTGTTTAATAGTTAGATTTGTTCCATAATATTTTAATGATGAACACAACTGGTAAATATCAGGTTTATATGAGTAAAATTTGGTGTAGAATTTCATTATAATATAGACTTTGATTATAAATGTTTATTTTATGTTTCGGCGAAAATTTGAATTAAAATTCAAACTAGTGATTTGAAATATATTGAAAATCAGAAAGCTGAAAATACAGTATCACTACAGATTTTCTTAAGAATAAACCTACAAACTGATCTATGTATCTCACATATATGTTCATTTTATACAAATAAAAAGACTAGAGAAAATTAATTTACAGTGCATTTAGGTTTTTAATATTTAATTTCAAGTACACCATTTAGAATTTAAGTTTCATATTACAGACTGGTTTTTCTTGGATAATCACTGAAAACCAGGACAGTTGTCTAATTTCATTATCGTGCTCTCTAGGAGTGCGTAAACACGACCCCTTGATTGGTCTTCAGGCCTCGTGTCGACAGCTTAATTTTTAGATTACTATGTTGATATCCAGTAATTGACATTTCAATCAACTTGTTATGTCCTTCAGTCATCATCCATTGCCATTTGTGGTATTTATTTCACATCTGACATAATTGAACTAAACTGGTTATGACTTCTCAGTAGAACTCCGGGAATTACTTCGCGAAATCAGTTACTGGTAATCACACGATGATTGTTATGACCAGGTGTTGAGAAGATTGTTAACTTTGAAGTTTCAAATTGCAGATTGACTTTGATTAGACTGTATCCCTAAATAGCGACAGCCAATAGTTAATAACCGTCGGTTTGGGTTATATAGGAAACGGCAGGGTCGCTAAATTGTTAAATGAGGACTGCAAGCGAATTTCGAGATAGGAATACAGCAAGTCTTATACTTACAGACTTCAATATTTTTTCTGAAGCTTTGTAGTTATTTAAACGATTCGACGATAACTGTTTGTTTTACGGCAAAATCATTGTTCATAGATTATTCGAAGTACTCACCTCTTTATCACTTTCTAATTCACTTAGTATAGTTTGACACCGTTGAAGTTCACCTTCCAGTTGACGTCGAACGATTTCAGCTTGTGTATAACGTGTTTCTGCTTCCTCTAGTGAATGCAATAATTCTCGTCTATTTTCTTCTAACTTAATTTCTGCAGCTCTAGACTTTTCTAGACGTATCTAAAAATTATAAAAAGATAACTAGATTTCTAAAAATGGATTTGTTGTGATCAATTTTAGGTGAAACAGTCCTAGATTATTGATTTTGAAGTGTTCTAACTTTCGTTAGACGCCTGGTTACTAACTGGATTTCAATTCTACTTAATTTATCGAATATGAAGATGTTAGACACTTAATAGATATCATGGGTAGTACTTTTAAAACTTATTATGGCCTAAATAAGACTGAGAGCATTGTAAAAACATTTTATTTGGCGAATGGACAAAGATAATATTCAGATGTTCCAGGTTTTTTCCAAAAAGCATATTGACTGACTTATTGATCTGTAGTAGTATAGTTTTATTTGTACTAATAATAGCAAATAAAGTAATCCCTTTATACTGATTAAATATATTTTTTTGGGAAACAAATGCAGCAAAATTCAAATCATATCCACTACTTATAATATCATACTGATTAAAAGGAGTAGGTGGGATCTACTCCAAAAGTTAAGAGGAAGCTGTCAGAAATGTTTACGCTTGACTAAAGTTCTTCAGTAGGCTATACCTTAAGGTTCTAAGAAATATATTTTGAAATTGCAGTATTGTAGCTTAAGGTTATGACTGATCCTATCAAAGATAAAAGTGTATATCAGTCATTCACTAATAACTCGTATCTTGTTCTAAACCTCAGTCACGAATCAGAGTTTTACCTTTATGCCCTACTACGCAATATAAAGAAGGCCGTTAAAACATATTCATTTTAGCTCAGTCATTCAAAACAAACAGAAAGTAAGGCTACTTTCTCACTTAACGCCATAGTTTAGTCATCATTCAAACTTTATATCACTATAATACACAATAAATGTTATTTAGTTATATCCTTTGTCAGTATACAGGTGAATTTGTATTATGCGTCGACATAATTAGGCCATAAAAATATTATTTGTCTCGTATAATTTCTCAAAACTAGCAATACAGAAAATTTTTTAAGGATATTGTACAAACAACAGTGATACTATATCAAGTTATCGAAGCATCATGTACCGATTTGTGTGTTCAAGGAAAACATATATATATCGCTTTGACAGAGGCACAAATGTACATAGACTATGAATTTTAGCCAACCACAAGTTAGACTTAGCGACAGTAATAAGAAATCGCTGTCAGTATCTTGATCTAGGCAGATTCAAGAGTTATTCAGTGAATTTCAGATGCAATATCTGAAGAATGAGGATCTACTGATCGAGAATGGAGAGTGAACGATTAAAAAATCGATTGTAGATACTACATAAACACTGAAGTAAGCACTATTAATAAGATACTTCAGGAAAGAGTATGAATATTTCCAAGTTAACTGCTAGTAAATTTAATAATAGTTCTGCCACGGAAATTCATTGATGTAGTTCGAATCAATCTCCTGGGACTCAAACCCGATGCC